GACTGAGCCCCCTGAGACCATTGGAGCAGCCGACCATGGACTGAGCCCCCTGAGACCACTGGAGCAGCCGACCGTGGACTGAGCCCCCTGAGACCGTGACTCAAATTAAACCTGCCGTTTAAGTTGCTTGTGTCAGGTATTTCGTCCCAGTGAGGGTAAAGCTGACCAATACAGTTCCAATTGCACATTTTCTTTGGCCGGTGTGAACGAGAGGGCCATTGTCCACGTCTGTCAAAATGTTCCTGCTTCTGTTGCTATTTGTGAACACAGGGAGAGAGGTCAGGCAGGGTTAGTTGAGTTTGCTGCTGGCCAGGTTCCCTCTCCTCCTCCTTGTGGATTGTGTTTTGGGGGCGGATGGATGGATGGTTGGGTGGATGGGCGGATGCGTGGATGGATGAGTGAATCCCAGCCGTACACAGTCACAGCCTTTCTGGTCCTCCCCTGACTCCATCCAAAGGAGGTGACTGGGTCGATCCATTTGTGCAAAGCTTACCCGTGGGAAACAGTGAGTCCTGTTATTGTCACAGTGTCTCCTTGTTTGCAGCACGCTGGGCTTGGCAGCGGGACCCCTCCGGTAAGTTGGAACACAGGCTGGGCCGTCTTCACCCCTCGCCGTGGCCCGTGTGCCCCGGACGGGGGACTCTGTAGACGGCTCAGTGGGCTCCGTGCGCTGCGTCCCTCTGTCCCTCCTCCGGCTCTGCCTTCTTCTGTTTCTGTCGGCCACCAAGCCGTCAGCCAGACCTCGGAAGGGGACGTCTCTTCCTGCGAAGCGGGGTCACCAGCGAGCTTTCGGGTGCTGTCCTTGTCCCAGTACCGCCCTGGCCCTGTGTGTGGGAAGCCAGGACCCTGCACTTCCAGTATCTGTGTCCCCGGAGGCCTCTGCGTGGCTGTGCACCCCACGCTCCATGCTGGACGCACTTCGGCCCTGTGTTTGGGGCTGTGCCGGGGGGATTTTGCTCATACAAAGCGTCCACTCCGCACAAAGACGTGGCTTCGCTTCGTGAACTGTCCGAGGGGTCCCCAGGACCCATAGCTCCCCCAGCCCGGTGCGGACTTGAAATCGCGTGTAGATGACACAGAATTCCTGCCTCATGCGAATGCAACGGAAATCGTCCTTGTGCTGAATGCCCTCGTGGCTGAGGACAAGAGAAGGAGTGCTAGTGTGCTCAGTGTAGATGTGGTTTTACTTTGTAAGATATTTTCCAAGCCAGGCGTGGTAATTCCTGCTGTCATCTCAGCAGTCAGGAGGCTGAAGCAGGAGGATCGCTGCTAGGAGTTCGAGGCCAGCCTGGAGTACGTAGCAAGAAGCTACCTCAAAAAAGCAAAGCAAGGGCTGGGAATTTAGCTCAGTGGTTCCACTGCCTGCCTCACAAGCGCAAGGTTCTGAGTTTGATCCCTGGTACCAAAACAGACAAACAAACAAAAGAAAAGCAGAGCAAAAAAGTCAGGTGTTTTCCATGCGAAGTTGATTAAATCTGTGGACGCTGGACTCAGAAGGCAGAATGTGTTTCTGCTTCGTACTCACAGTGTTACCAAGTGCTCATTTTGATTTATTGATTCATATTTTTGCTGTCCTGAGGATTGAACGTGAACCCAGGGCCTTGGACGGAGCTGCATCCCCAGCCCTTTTTACTTTGTATTTTGAGACAGGGTTCCCCTCAGAGGCCCAGGCTGGGCTGGAACTTGCAACCCTCCTGCCTCAGCCTCCTGGGCAGTACGGTTCAGATCTTATGACAGACTCGCTCTGTGACTTCCTCTCACGAGGCCGCGTCTAACTGTTCACCCGAAGGTCCAGGTGGCGGGCGAGGCGGAGAATGAGTACTGCTTCCCCAGCCCCGAGCCCCGCGCCAGGCAGGCGGTGCGCGTCCGGGTTGCAGATGTGCGAGGTGGGCCCTGGAGCGCGTGGAGTCGGCCGGCGGCGTTCGGTAAGTGCGGATGGTGGGCAGTGGGGCCTGGGGCACCAAGACGCGGCCGGGTGGCAGCTGCTTTCCGGGGGACTCTGGGCTGGTCGGGGACGCGTCACCACCCCGTGTCTGCACCGCCCCCAGCCAGAGCTTCGGCATCCCCAACCTGTGCCTAGGGGCGCTGGGGACAGCCCCATCCCGGGGGCCTGTCAGCTCCCAGTGCCCGGCGTAGGTGACCCGGCACGCGCCCGGCTCAGGGCTTGCCGTGTCCCTGCCCGAAGAGGGTCGGTCACAGTCGGCCACCTCCTCATCAACCTGGGGGTCCGGAGCAGGGCACACTAGCACGAGGACGGGCAGAGGGAGAGGGCGCGGGAGACAAACTCGGTCCAAGGGAAATAAAGTAAACTGGAGAGGAGGGCGGGACTGGCAGGCACCGGGTCCTGGATTCCAGTCCAGCAGCATGGACGGATGGGTGGATGGAAGGAATGGAAAGAACAGATGCAAAGAGAGATGAAAGATAGAAGATAAACGGATAAATAATAGGCAGATGGACTAGACAGAAATAGGTGAATAGGCAGGAGGATAGAAAAACAGGAATAGATAGATCCAATGCCTAACATAGACACAGAAAACGGACGCAGAGGTTGTTGGTAGCTTGGCTGATTGATGAGAAGAATAGATGCAGAGAGGTGGATAGATGACTGAGTGATGGATGGAACAGAAAGAAGAGACGCAAACAGATGGGCATGGATAGAACAGCAAGACAGGGGCAAGAGAGAGACAGAAAAAGAAAGCTGAGTAGATAGATGATAGATGATCAATAGATGACAGAATACAAGGATGGGTGCATGACAGATTCATGTCCGTGATGGATGGACAGACAGAGAGAGAGACAGAGTCTTGCTCTGCAAATCGGGAGAAAGCTGTTTATTCCAGGTCACTGAATCACCGGGGTATTCACCTTGTAACTCTGGCAGTTGGCAAGGATTTAATGTCCGAGCGTGAAGGCCGTTCCAGCTCGGCACACGTCTGACTCCTCCACACGCGGACGTTGGCAGACACTTGAAAATATTACGGAGCTGGGTGTGGTGGCGCACGCAGCACTCAGGAGGCTGAGGCAGGAGGCTCTCTGCCAGTCCAAGGCCAGCCTGGGCTACACAGTGAGACCCTGTCTCAAAACAGCGCCCCTAAAGAAAGGTTCATGAAGCAAAAATCCCACTTTATTTCCACAAACGTCCATTCGTTTCTCCTCCTGTCTTTTAAAACCATTCTTTTAGCCCTGAGGGTGAACCTGGGCCCTGTGCAGGCAGCTCCCTCCTCAGTTCTGTTTAATTTTGATTTTTTGAGGCAGGGTCTTGGTTGAGTCCCTGAGTTGCCCAGCCTGGGCTGGAGCTAGGGATCCTCCTGCCTCAGCCTCCGAGCGCTGGGATGACTGAAGTGGGCTTGGAGCTGGGGCTGCTGGTCTCCCTGGGGCTCAGGGCTGCTTTGTGGGCGGCGCCTCCTTGGGCCTCAGCCTTAGCACTCCGGCCATCCCCGCGGCCCCAGCCGCTGCACCCAATTCTCCTCCGCAGGCTCTGACACCCGGGCGGGCCCGGCCCTGCGCCTCTACGTCCCGGTGGTGCTGGGCACCCTCGTATGCGCCCTGGTCCTCGGCTTCCTCTTCAGAAGGTAACCCCCAAAACGAGCCCAGCTATTCTGCCGTGGAACCGGGGAAGTGAAGTCAACCTGGGACAGGGACCCCTGCACCCTATGTTTATGGGGGCCCAACTCACAAGAGCCAAGGGGTGCAGTGGGCCTGGGTGCCCATCAACAAACGAATGCAGAAAGACAGTGTGGTCTACGCGCACTGTGAATAGTATGCAGCTGTGAAAAAGCATGGAGTCATTTGGAGCAGATGGCTGGATAAGGAAAAGGTGATGGGCAGGTAGAGACTGCATCACAGAATACTGTGAAGCCACAAAAAACGGGAAAGCCGTGTCATTTGCTCCAGAAAAATGGGTGAAGAAAAAGCGGCCGGCACATATAATGGAATATTATGTGGCCATGGAAAAGGATGAAATGATGCCATGTGTAACAGGTGACTGGATAAAGCAAAGGTGATGGATGGATACAGTCAGACCTTGGATTGCGAGTCACGTGTTGTCCGAGTAGTGTGTGAGATGAGTGGACGTTTCTGAGTTCTAATTTCATAAATGAGTGCTGTCTTACAATAGAATAGGGCATCACGCCAGGTGTGACATGACATAGCAGATTCTCTCTCTGTCTCTCTCTCTCTGTCTCTCTCTCTGTCTCTGTCTGTCTCACCACTGCTTTGATACTGAAGTGCTTTGGAGTATGAGTGGAACAAAGCATTCTCACAATCCAAGGTTTTGCTGTGTATTACATATACATAATATAAAAATATAATGGAATACTATGAAGCTAGGAAAAAGGTTGCTATTCATGACAGAAAACCAGGTAGGAAGTACAGCGTGTATGTAATAGAATAGTATGCATCCATGAAAAAGGCTAAGGCTGTGCCACGTACAACAGATGCCGGTCAGATTAGGAAAAGGCAGCACCCATGTGTATACTGAAATACTATACAGCCGCAGTAAAGGACGAGACTGTGTCATTTTCAAGGGAAAGCATCATGTTAACATCATGGAGAGGCTCAGAGAGATGCGTGTGCCATGTTTCCCGTGCCGCATGGGACGTGGAAGGCCTCCCCCAGGCGTGGCCAGGAAGCTCTTCCCAGACCGGAGCGGGGACAGGGAGGCCCGGGAGGAGCTGGTCGGGATCCGTTGGACGCTGGGTGCCCGGCCGAGCACCCAGCCTGGCTCCCCACCACCCTGCAGCTTGGCCTTCGTCCCCAGGTTTGTTGGGCTCCGTGCTCTGTGCCCCCGCGTGCCACAGGTCAAGGATAAAGTGAGCAGCGTGGATGGAGTCGCCCACCAGGTGGGAGCGAACCCTCGGGGCGGGGTGGGGGCTCAGCTGTGAGCACAGTGGGGGAAAGTGGAGTGGGAAAGGGGCAGGACAGAGGAATGGGGGAGAGAGACAGATGGAGAGGGCAGGGGAGCGACAAGGGCAGAAACGACGCAGAGGCAGAAACGGGGACGCAGAGACAGAGAAAGGGAGCAGAGAGATGCAGAGACAGAGAGACAGTCTGAGGGGAAGAGAGAGACGGGAGAGACCAACGGCAGGAGAGGGAAGAGGAAGAGAAAGGCGAAGGGAGGAGAAAAGAGGGAGACAGAGACAGGGAGGTTATGGGACACGGAGAGACGTGGGCGGAGACAGAGGGATACGGTGACACAGACCCCAGGACCTCTGCACGTGCTGTGCCCGCCACCCCCCCGTGACCCCTTGCACGGCTGCACGGCCCCCAGGGTCCCATCAGGGACACCCCGACACTGCTCTCCCTCACCCCGTCAGGTGCCCTGGGAGGACTTCGCCCCCGGCATCAGGAAAGGCGAGCTCGAGGACGTGTTGACGGTGGAGGAAGTGTCCTGAGCCTGTGATGCGCGGCAGCGAGAGCCGGGAGATTCAGGCTGCACCACGCACACACCTGGAGGCGTTGGGGCTCTGGCATTTGGAGCATTTCTGTGTTTTATTTTTTAAAATATTCTTTTGCAAACGTGCCTGTGGCCTCAGGGACCCTCCCATCTCTGCGAGTGTGGACACAGGACGCGGTCCAGCTGTCAATCCCCGGCCCCTCCCTCTGGTTCTTCTCTCTCTGCTTCCTGGCCACCATGATGTGAGCGTCTTTCCTCCTCCGCCACTTTGGTCCACCATGATGTTCCTGCCTTGGAGCAGCCGACCACGGACTGAACCCCCTGAGACCACTGGAGCAGCTGACCATGGACTGAACCCTCTGAGACCATTGGAGCAGCCGACCATGGACTGAACCCTC